GCCCGGGCGGCGGGGGAGGCGAGTGGAGGGTCCCGGGACCGGGGAGGCAGGGGACGGGCCGGGATGCTTTAAAAATCCACCCTCCTTCCCCTCGCTGCTGGACTCCTCTAGCTCCAGGAGCACTTTGGGGTCCTTCGCCGGCCCCTGAACACCCGCGTGGGTCTCATCTCGCCCCGTGGAGCCCATAGGAGCAGGATGGGGCCCTCTCTGTCCCAGCCCAGTGCAGCTTTTGCAACAGTAACTCTGCATCCCTCCCGCACGCCACCACCACCTCCCTCCGTGCAGGGCTTCGCATTCAGGGCCTTCCCTGCCAACAAAATCTCCCCCCTCCTGCTCCAAATGACAGGGCTGGGGAAGGGAAGTGGCAGCAAAACTTGAGACAAAGACAAAGGGGTCGCGCTGCCAGTGCCTCGCCAGGCTCGCTTAACCTTGCGCGCCGTGGGACGCAGCCACCATACCCCGGTCCCCGTTGCGGGGGGCAGGTAGGGCCACGGCCCCGGGCAGGGCAGGAAGGAGCCAGAAACATTTAGCCCTAAAGGCTTCCAGCAGCCAGGGACCCCAGTCTCTCTTGCTGAGAAAAAAAGCCATTCAGAGACTGCTTTTTTTTTTTTTTTTTCCATGGAAAATGGGAGATGCTGGGTTGGTTTGAGGCTTGAAAAAGTGTGGAAGAGCCTTAAAGGGTGAGAGCTGGGGGAAAGAGAACAGAGGTTGCTCCAGAGAGTATTTAATGCTCTGGATAGATGGATTTTAGTAGAAAGGGAATAAAGGGAATAGACTGTGAAGTAGGAGTTCAGGTCAAGAGAATTCTCCCCCTTTTAAATCTGGAGGGGTGTAGGGCTCCCAGAGCAGGATGTTTACCTGGGAAAAGTGGCCCAGACTGGGGACATTTCTGCAAGATTAAATGAAGAGACATTTCCTAGCGGGGAAAATAAACATTTTGGTGAGAAGTTTTTTGGCCAGCTCTTCTCACGGAGGTATGCAAAGGCTCAGATCTTTGCGTGGAAATGCCTTGCTCAGATTAGGGAATATTTTAAATAGCCTTCTTACCACACCAGCTGAATTTCTGTGGATAATCACATGGACATTCCGGCTCTTTGCTGTTTCTTATTATTGCTTGGCAAGGAGAAGCAAATCCCCAACTCCGCTAGCCCCGCAGCCCTATCCCGTTCATTGCCCTCTGTGTCTCTGTTTGCAGGAGCGAGGATGACTCCGCTGCTCTGCTGCGTGGGCATCGCTGCTCTCCTGGCCTCCAGCCTGGCCTGCCCCAGGAGCTGCGTGTGCTCCGTCAAGAAGAACGGGCGCCTCTTGGCCGAATGCGCCTACAGGGACCTGCAGGAGGTGCCCGCGGGGCTGTCACCCAACGTGACCATCCTCACCCTGTCGGCCAACAGGATCGGCTCGCTCTGGGAGACGTCCTTCTCCGAGGTGCCCGAAGTGCAGTCGCTGTGGCTCGGCTACAACCAGATCAGCACTGTTGAGGCAGGCACCTTCGTGCACCTGGTGCATTTGAAGAACCTGGACCTGAGCCACAACAAGATTGTGGATTTCCCCTGGAAGGACCTTCGCAACCTCAGTGGCCTGCAGATCCTCAAGATGAACAACAACCGCCTGGCCGGGCTGCCCCGAGGGGCCTTCCACTCCCTGAAGGACCTGCGCTCCCTGTGGCTCAATGACAATGAGCTGACCACCCTGGCCGAGGGCACTTTTGACCACCTGCCCTCCTTGTCCCAGCTGCAGATCTTCAACAACCCCTTTAACTGCTCCTGCAAGGTCTTCTGGTTGAAGAAGTGGACAGAGAACACCTCCGTCTCTATCACCAAAGGGGGCTCCATCCTGTGCATGACTCCCAGCAGGCTCAAAGGGAGGGCCGTGACCAACATCCCTGACCACTTCTGCATCGCCCCATCAGTGCAGCTCACCTACCTCTCCAACCTGGACAACACTGTCATGTACGACGGCCTCACGCTCACTCTGCACTGCAGCGTGGCCGGCAACCCCCTGCCGGAGATCAGGTGGAAGATCCAAACGTCCAGCCGGAGCACTGAGATCAACGGGCCCAACGTGGCGCGGGACGGGAGTGTCCTGCCTCCACGGCATGCCAAGCAGAGCCAGGAGCGCTTCCTGGTCTTCAAGAACGGCACCATGGCCATCCCCAACTTCAGCAAGGAAGATGAAGGCATCTACACGTGCCTTGCCGTCAACGATGTGGGCATGCGGGAGGTCTCGGTCAATGTGGCCTTGGCTGGCTCGGAGAACCCAGCCAATGACCTGCTCCGAAATGCCCCCCAGGCCAGTCACCTGGGCGGCCGGAGCTGCTACAAGGGAGATGACTTGGATCCCTCCAGTGCCGGAGAGAAGCTCGTGATCGTTTACCATGTGCCAAGGGAGTCCAGGAGCAGGGCTGGAGCAGTGCCCCAGGTGTGCCTGGGGACCCTCCTGCTGACTTTGGGCCTTGCTCTGTGTTGCTGAAGGAAGGAGTAGGAACCAGCACCTTGAGGCTGCCCTCTCCTTCTGCATCTTCTATCTTCACATAGTGCCATGCATTTGCTGAGCTTCTGGGAAGCGCAGAAGGCCTGGAGGCAAAAAGGATAGGAGCCTCGAGCTCGGGGCTGTTGTTTCGAGCCCTCGCTAGGTGTCAGGCGGGGCTGGGCTCTCTGGGAGGCTCTCGCCCCTCCGCCACACGCGAGGGAAGCGAGGAGCGGAGCCCAGCTGGGAGCCAGATGGCCAGACACCTGCTCGCTTCGCTAGCCAAAGCTTGCCGCCCTGCTACCGCACGGAGCACGAAGAGCAAAAGAGCCCAGCTGAAGCTGGGGAGCAGCCCCGGTGCAGGGTCCCGGGGTGGCGGGCACGAGGCCCCAGGTGCCTGTCGGTGCTGTGCATGCCGGGGAGCAGCAAGCATGCGTTGCACCCGGCCATGGGCGCCAATGGGGCTCCACTTTCATCCCTGCAGGAGTGGCTCCTGCTGGCTGGCTCCTTGGAGCATCCAGGGTGTTCGCACCCTTGCTGGGCTGGAGCCTGCAGAGTGGCCCCGTGGCGCTGTAGCCACAAGTTACTGTTGCACTTCAGCATCCTGCACGGGACATATATGCCGTGCATCCCAGGGAGAAGCTGCGAACTCCTCCCTCGCCAGCCTTGCTCTCCCAAAGGGAAGGGCAGTGGGTCCCCTGTATCCCACAGGATGGATCTGCAGAGATTGCAGCCGCCAGCATCGCCTTGTAGCCAAAGCCACACGCTGCAGCCATGCACCAAGCACAATAAATATATTTTTTAAACAACCCCGAGCAAGCTGCCTCTGTGCTGCCCTCGAGCCCCCCACACTTCCTTAGCCTGGGGGGGGGGTCTCACCCCACAATTTGCTTAGCCACGAGGCACCCAGGAGGCAGGGAGGCAGCCCTCGTGCTTCCTCCTAGGAGAGGCTTTGATGCAAGTGGGCGGCCACATATTTTTCCCATTACAGGCAGAAAGGGTGAAAAAACAACCTCAGACACAAGTGCTGGGAGATGCACAACCCGGATGGAGCCAGCCCCAGGCAGCAACCATCCCGTGGCCATGCCGGGGTCGGGCACGAAGCGTCAGCAAGACCCCCGAGTGGCTGAGAGCAGCTGCTGGCGGCGATGGGGCAGAGGAAACGCGGGGGAGAAGGAGCCACCTCCCGCCAGCCCCCGCAGGGCTCTCGTCCCCGGCCTGGGTCCAGCCCGGCGCCCGCCCAGGCAGCGCATGAGGAAGGTTGCTTCGCTGTGTCAACAGATGTAGAGATTTGGCTCCACCCCTGGTGCGGCAGGACGTTTAAGGCATTGCCAAGGCCTTCCTCAAAGTGCCGGCACCTCAGGATCGGCGAGGGCTGGGAGGCAGACGCTTGCGCTGAAGGATGAGCTGCAGGGACCCAGCAGAGCAAGTGACACCCGGGGCTGCCCAACCACCATGCAAGGACACAGCCTGGGCCCCTTGCCAGGTCCCCCCGCATCCCGCTCATGCCCACAATCAGGCATCCTTGGGGAAGGACCCAGAGAGCCCTGTGGGTTAGGAATGAGGTATATTATTTATTATTTATTATTCTCCCCCAGCTTGGCACACCCAAGTGAGGGCTAAACTGGGTTCTACTGCTTCTAACTCGCTCAGAGGCTTCCTGAGGCTCCCAGGGAGCCTCTCACTTTAAACAACACGGCGGGGTGGGGGGCTGCTATAGGCGACATGGGGAGCTGATGGGAGGAAACATCCTGGTTTAGAGCAAACTAGACAGCAAAAGTGACAGGGAGACAAAAGATGAGGGCTCTACAGCACGGAGCGGAGCAGGCGGAGGACTCCGCACTGTGTCCAAACAGAGCCCGGATCAGAGCTCGGAGGGGAGAGCCGGGGACAACAGTGAGTCCTCATGCTTGATTTGGTTGGGGATCCCTCCACTCACAGGAAAACACATGCACCCCCCATCTCTCTCTTTCCTTGTTGCCCTTCCCGAGGCTGGAGTTGGGGCCTGGGTGACTCATCTGCCTGGGCTACGTCGTCACCCCGGTCCCGACAGCGGCTCAGCGCAGATGCAGGGCTGGAAGCCAGGGTGAGGGAGGGGGCTGAGGAAGCATCCGAGGCTCCCACCAGTGCCAAAGGGGAGCCGCTGGGTGCCAGGGAGGGTACAAGCGCGTGCGCAGGGGGCAAGGGCTGGCGTGGGGGTCAGGGGGCGCCGAGCTGGGTGCCATTGGCTGCGGGGTCAAGGAGGGCGGCTTTGCGGCACGCAGCCAGCGCCGGGTTGTGCAGCAGGGTGTAGGCTAGTGCCCAGCGCGCCCGGCTCTGCCGCCGTCTGGCTCCGCTCACCGGTGCCTTCGCCGTCTGCATCAGCTGGATGCCTGGCAGGGCCAAGGGGACAAGGGCGCCTCAGTGTCCCCACACCGGGGATGTCTCTGCTCCCGTCCTGCCGAGCGGGGTCATCCTGCCCACCAAAGGATGGGGCAGGGAGCATGGCAGTGTGGAAGTGGCAGGGAGGGGACACCAGTGCCTCCGTGCTGGCACCGCGGGAGGACACCGGCACTTACCTTCTTCCACATTGGCGGGGCTGAGCCCCTGGTGGCCCTCAGGCCTCGCTGGCTGCAGCAGCAGTGAGCAGAAGGCCTTCATCACCGGGTGCGACTGGCTGACCCCGATTTTCAGATAGTGGCAGTAAGCGCGGTAGCCTGCGGAAACGCAGCGCACGGGAAACGCATGGAGTGGGGTCAGCGTCGCCCCGGAGCAGGGACCACATGAGTCCTGTCCCACTTAATCCTCCCCCCCTCCACCCTCTCTCCCTGCAGGGATCCCGGCTCCACTTCCAGAGCCTTGGCAGCAAGAGCAGGGGAAGGGCTGAGCTGCCTCCTGAAAGGACCCGCTGCCCTCCGTGGTGGCAGCAGGTCCCATCCGTCCACGCAGTGCTGGGCATGCAGAAAGCCCAGGGAGGGTGCAGGGGACTACAGCAGGGCCATCGCTCTTGGGGAAAACATCACCCACTCCCAGGGATGGATGGAAAAGCAGGATCAAGCGGGCATCAGGAAGCCCTGTCTGCCCCGGCCCCTTCCAAGCTTGAGGGCTCAGAGGGCCCCTTGCTCATGGAGCTGCAGACACTCGTGGGAGCTCGGTGGCAGGAGAAGGACCTCCACGAGGCGCCCCACCTGCTGCATCCAGGTTGGGGGCTGGAGTCCAGCCCCTACCTGGGTCGAAGGTCTCCACGCCGCGGTTCAGGAGGCTGATGTCCAGCTGGCAGAAGTGGATGGCGTTGTACAGGGCAGAGATGACCATCCTCCAGAGCCCGGCTAGGACACCCACGAGCACGTTGATGGGGAAGAGTAGGAAGGTGACTATGTAGAGGGCTCGTCTGTGGATAGAGGAGGAGGAGGATGGAGGGATGGAGGGGACAGAGTTCTTGCTTGCTCCAACCTAAGAGCAAGAGCAAGGCTGCATAAGGACCACAGAATCATCTCTGGGAGCCAAGCCCCTAAAAAACCCAAACCTGGTTTGGGGTGCAGGCTGTTTCCTGTCCCCATCCCACAAAACAGACACTGCAAAGAGCAAGACAAGATATTCGAGCTACACGTTAACCCCCAGCAAGGTTCTCTGGGCATCAGGACACTGATGTTCCTCCACTTCCCAGAAGGCCTCCACATGCCCATACCTGTTGGTCAGCTCCTTCCGCAGGGGATGCTGCTCCAGGAATAGGTAGTGAGCTGCCAGATTTTGCACAATCACAGCAATGATGAGGGTCAGCCAAAAGGGCCTGGCCAGGAGGGAAGAGTCACATTGGAAACCAGAAGAGTCCCAGGCAGGAAACACCAGCCCAGGTGCCAGCAGCCTCCAACAAGAGACTTCAACAACTTTCCTTCAAGGAGAATCTCCAGACTTGGCAGAAAGGTAGGTCACATTATGGCCTGTTCATTGACAGGAAATGTTCCTGGGGCTCCTTCACCAGGCAAGGTGCCTGCAGAAGGTCTCCCACTTCTCCTGCCTCTCATAGAATCATAGAATGCTTAAGGTTGGAAGGGACCTCTAGAGGTCATTTAGTCCAAAACCCCTGCACACACAGGGTCACCTAGAGCACGTGGCACAGGACTGCATTCAAGCCGATTTTGAAGATCTCCCCAGAAGGAGACTCCACAACCTCTCTGGGCAGTCTGTTCCAGTGTCCTCTCCTCTGAGGACAGATGGACACTCACCACATGTTCTGAAGGATCTTGAAGAGGTGCATGTTTGTGCCCGACTGGAGTGGGATGACAAAGAAGAAGGCAAAAGCCACCAGGCAGATGAAGAAAATCACTTGCTGGATGAGGAGACCTTAAAGGGAGACACAGAAAGGAGGTCATCATGCAGGAAGGGAAGGAGAAGAAACTGTCATGTGTCTGAGCAAAAACGTGGCCGGAGTTATAACTCTTCCTCCCTGTGAAGGTGACTGAAGATGGCAAAACTGGATGCATTTTCAGTAGGATTTGGTGAAGATGGCAAAACTGGATGCATTTACAGCAGGATTTGGCCACACAGTCACTTGACAGCTGAGATACCTGTTCGCAGACAGCTTGTTGCCCCAAGCAGCCTTGCAAAAAGACAAGAGTAACCTCCCCACCTAGATCTTATTCCCTAAATCCATGTTTTCTTTCCAGCATGCTTTTCATTGCAATCCCATAAAAAGTCTGCAAGATCCTTACCTACCTCCCCCCTGCAAACCTAATTCTTTGCGAGAAGTTTAATTAGGAGCTCAGCCTTTCTTATCACGCACTGCATTAGCCCCACAGAGAAGAGCCATCTCTAGGGGCTGCAGCTACAATTTCTCATCATAAAAATCATCCCGAGCCATGATTCCTAATCATAAATCAACACGGAGATCAGCGGCGGATGCAGTTCATTTTGCCAGATCTGCGACGGGAGCCGTCGAAGGCCGGGCAGCGCACGGCTCATTCATTCAGCTCAAGTGCCTTGCTGCAATGACTTGAAAAACAGAGTTTGAGACGGGAGCGGGA